GGCTAATGTACCTCGTATCTATTTACAAATTGTTATTTCTACTCCCCAAGAGAAAAGTGAAGCTTATTCCCGCTAACTTCGATGAAGACCCGAGAGCCTGACCCAGTGTCAGGTTTATGCCATCAGTGAAGATTCGACAATGTGTGAGTCCGAGCTCAGTGCTGGTATTAACCCAGCATTCAGCCTCAGGGAACTCAACATTATAGAATCTCTTCAACAAAGGTAATGGTGGCGTACTATCCTGTGGCATTGAAAAGACACAAGTGCTCAGATCTTTGCCGTCAGAAATGTCCGCCTCACCCCACTCAGTGTTATACCAACATCCGTTTCTTTTTAGCCTGCAGGTGACCTTTAAGGCTTCCGCACGTATGAAGGCACAAAGTGACGGTAAGTGCAGCAGTGCATCAAGAGCAGCGCTAGGTGTTGTAGAGAAAGCTACCGTACAGCACATGGCAATAGTTCTTTGAAGTTTAGCAAGCAGACCTCCCACGCTATTGATTGAGAGCCTGCAGGGCTGATCATAGAGGTATAAATCCAGAGGATTCCCTTTGGTGAAAGACCGCACATTTTGCCAAAGAAGTCTTGATTTTTGAGAATTTTTTTGTTGAAGGTGTTTCGCATTTTTGCCATTCAAAGTATTTTTCGATTTTTGTTTTGCATGGAAACAAATGCGTGAAAAAATCAAAAAAATCATTCCTAGGTACTCATACTTGTACTTTATTGTACTAAAATTTAACGGGCTACAAAACTGCATACCCGAAAAAAATCTAAAAAATCTGGAGTAAATAGTTGAATAATTTCATGAAAATTAATTGGATTTTTCCTGAGTTTTGCACAAAGTCTAGAAACCATACTTTTATGCTTTTTTTAATTGAATTGTTGCATATATTGTGAAAAATTCTCTGTGCCAATACTTTTTGCCGTGTGTCTATATTCAGCTGAATATTAAAATTAATCATTGCACATACAGTGGCGGTCAAAGGTGGATGAATGGTGTTTCGTATTTAATATTTATAATGTTTTTCAAGTTATAATTTGTTTGATATTTTTTACAAAAATATCTGTGTTCATATGGAATTGTAGCTTATGTCGAAGGGCTGGCTTTAGTATAATGCCGCATTCGCAGCATACGATTTCGTCGAAGAACTTTGGGCAAATAAATATGCAAGAAATTGTTCCGATACTGGCAAGTCAATATTCTTATTAAGTCTCATCAAAAAATTCCTTGTGGTTTAAAGTATAAAGGGAATGCCGCATTATACTAAAGCCAGCTTCTCGACATAAGCTCCTATTTCATACGAACACAGATATGGGTTCATGCTTTTCCAAAAGTTATATAAATCACACTTTCAAACTTTATACAGAATTTAGAAAAAAATCCACAAATTTTTGTCTAATGGCGTTTTCGTTTCTATAAAAAATGTTGCCTTTTCGTTGCCCGGTTATTAGTATTTGTGCTTAGAGGGCAATGAGAAGGTTAACATTTTTCGGTGAAAACGAATACGCCATAATTTCGAGCTTTTTACCCAGAATTTTAAAAATTTTTTTGGGTATGCAGTTAACAGATTATACAATTTTTGTAAAATTAGTGCAAGTTTTGGGCGGCTAAAAAATCGCATTGATTTTTAATAATTTTCTTTTATTTTTTTTTTGCTGAAGGCGTTTTGAACTTTTTTCCACATAAACATGATTTTTTTGAGGAACAATATGCGCAAGATCTTTTGCGAAAAAAAAAAAAATAAAAAACTCAACGTCAGTTTTCCTAAACTTCGCTTTTTATATGAAAAAACGGTAAAAGCCGTCAGCAAAAAAAATTATTAAAAATCAATGCTGTTAACTGTATACCCAAAAAATTTACAAAAATTCTGTTTAAAGAGCCCCAAATTTACATAAAAATTTATGGAATTTTTCTAAATTCTGTATAAAGTTTGAAAGTGTTATTTATATGACTTTTGTTAAAGCATGAACCATATTTTTATAAAAAAAAAAATATCAAAAACATTGTAAATATTAAATAAACCCGAAACACCATTCATCCATTTTTGATCGCCACTGTACATCCTGAAAATGAGAACGCGTTAATTATACCATACATAAAAGATTAGATTCCGCTCTCTTCAGTTTAAGCTTCCAAATGGCACTACATAATGAGAGCACATGATTTCTAAAATTATTGACACTCCATTAATACTGTATTAGAATTGCATTTTTCAATCTACCTCTTCTTAGGGCACCTCATCGCTTCGATTTAAAAATAGAACACAAATTGTGTTGCATCTACCCCACTCACCTTTAAATAGTCTTGTCTTTGACTTTGTCGCAGTCTTTCTAATGTGGCCAGGTGTTCAACTTCCATTTCATCCTTCTGTGAAATAAAAACCAACACACAATTATTTCAAATAGCGAAATGCACACATTTGTATTTACATACATATGTACATAAGCGTGGGCCGAAAATCTGCTTTTTTAGAATTTCCATTGGTAATAGCAAAGATATGGTTCAATATGCTCTAAAAACAATCTGTATGAAATATGACAATTTTTGGTCAATACATTTCTTAGGCTCGCCCAAGTCCATCAAAGTTCAAGGTGCCCAAAAAAATAAAAAATTAATAACTACATTAATTAGTTAACTTTTTTACTAAAATTGCAGTATCTTCGAAAGTATTAGTCCTAAAAAATTTCCTATATGGTCCTTTTTTGTAGAGAATGGAAGTAAGCTAAGAATAATTTTTTTTAGCACTTGAACTTTGATGGACTTGGTCGGGCCTAAGATATTGACCAAAACTTGTCATCTTTCACACAGATTGTTTATAGAGCATTATTAATCGTATTTTTGCTATTACCAATCAAAATTCGAAAAAATCAAATTTTCGGCCAACGCTAATGTACATACATAAACTAAAACTAAATTTAGCTATCTTTGTAGTTACCTCAACTTTATTCGCGCTGCGTCCGTCATCCATTTCCAATGGCAGATCTTCGTCACCCTCACTCTCTTGCTCGCTCTCGCAAATCAGATCCTCCACCTCATCTTGGTCAGAATCGATGTCCTCGATCTGGTGCTGCGCTGCGGGCTGTTGATGCAATGGTGACGCACTTGGAGGTGGCAATTGAAACGGTATGGTGAGGTTATCGATATCGGGTGGCAGTGGGACATTGTGCAGGCGGCACAGTTCACGTAACAATATGCCAACCTATGAACGAACAAACAAACCAACAAACAAGCATGTGTAAACAACAAGTGCATAACTGCATTATAAACCAAAACTGATAAAACAAACAAATAAACAAACAAGCCAACGAGTCATCGAACGAAATAAAAATAAAACACCAACGCTATCGGAGTGTTGCTGTTGTTGTTGCATTGTCGACACCCAGCACAGCTGCTACCGCTGCTGGCGCTTTGCTTTTTAATAAATTTTTATATTTTTGCTCTATTTCGTGCACTTGTAAGTAAGTATGTAGGTATGCATGTGGCTACGTGTGTGTTTAAATGGGTTTACGTTTCTGTGAACGGTGTACGGTTGGTGCTGTCACTATGGCCATGACGTGTAAGTAGGCGCTATTGGTGGTCTGTGTGAATTTGCTACTAAGTTCACTCACCTGATTTATAACATGATTATCACGTCCATTCGTATTGCTGAGTATTTGTACGGCATTTGTTACGCTTGTCTCTTCACTCTCTGCAAACCAAACGGGTGGCGAGGATGGATACGTTTCCTGGAAATAAGAAAAGATTTTGTATTTTGGTAATGCGAAAACCAAATTTGCCTAACGAGAAAATGCTAATACATAATAATGAATGTTTGCAAAACTTTCATAAACGGCATGAAGTAAACAACGATTGCACCTGGACATCGTACATTGCCAAATTAGAAACATAAACTAAGCGTAAAAATATTAAGTCAGAATTTATTTTGATGTATTTACAATTTGAAATAAGGTGCTATTTAGGACCACGAAAATTAATTTAGGTGCTTTTGAAATATTCTACTATAAGCGAAATCGAATTTCTTGGAAACGAATTGAGCACCTACATTAATTTTGGTCTCCTTAGATAGTCCCTTAGAAGCATTTAATGTATCAATAGGGTGACATGTCGTGAGACAGAGTCATTCTTAGACATCATCTAACATACGATTTTAGATGAGCATTTAGGCATTAAGAAGATTTTATATTGGACATCGCATAGTTTGACATTTAATCAAATAAAATACTCTTGTATATATTCCCGTTGGCGTTGTCGTTTCGAAAAAGAAATAAAAACGAAAATTTGACATCACCTTTGGAGTTATCGACATTTATCGCAAACGTATCGATATTCTTCATAACGAACAACGAACCGTGAATCGTGAATACTCTGTTTAGGTATATAAATTCACTTAAGCAAAGTAAAACTGTTAATGCTGAATGATACACAACCATTTGTATCTTCGCAGAATGCGGAAAAAATAAACCACCGTTGGAAAACCACCCTTCGCCAGGACAATGCATATCCCACAGTAGCTCAAATAAAAGCGGGTTTGCACGCTAAAAGCGTGGAAATGATGGGTCCTCTGACTGAATTACATCCCTGATTTGACACCAAGGACGTCTTCTTGTTCCGTACGCTAGTCTTAAGTGTTTGTCCGAGCTTTTGTGCTAACAAAGATATAAAGATATTGGTTGCACCATTAAACGTCAATTGCCTTGCAAAGGTATAAAGCATTCGGCCTATCACTGAAGCTAGCCCAGTCCGATTTTCGTGACTACATATGTAGGACATAGTTGTGTACTAGGTGGGGTTCTCAGGGCATGTGAAGAGGTGCCGAGTCATGTGGCGACTCTCCACATGCCGGCCATTGGTTGGGCACATCCCCATTAATTCTGCTCAGGTATGAGTTTAGCCTGCTGCAATAGCCAGAGCGAAGTTGGGCTATTGTGGTGCGGGTCTCCCGAGGCAGACAAAGTTCTATCCCGTCCACGTCAGGTGGTGTGTGCCTAGAACAGCATTCACAGGGCGAGAGTCTACATAACTTGAGACCGATTCCCTGTGAATGCCAAGTCTGTGGCTCCCCACAAGAAACTGCTTGCAGAGCATTGTGTTATGCTCCTTGACTGGGAGCATCTGGGCCTCGTCGTGTAGGTGGTGTTGGGGCGTCATTAGGATGCATCCGGTCGCGGACCGTAGTGCCGTATTCTGGCAGGTCTTCACTCATAAAAGAACTGAAGTTGTTTAATTCAATTGACCAGTTGCTGAAACTGCAAGCTGAAGCACTGACTTGGCGAAGAGTCTCATGCTCATTCGATAGCAGCTTTAGCTGAGAAATTGGTATCGACTTCGGCCAAGCATCTAGAAGGCATGAAGCGAGCCGCTGCTGGCGCTCGCCAACATGAATGTCGGTTGATGTGCCGAGAGAGATGAATATGCTATGGTAGCCTCCCCAAAGCTGTGCCAATTAGTTTTAAAAACTGATGTAGTCACGATGAACCGCATTCAACAAAAAATTGATTTATCCGTTTATGGAACAACAAAACCGTTCGAAAATAAAAATTTAATATCATTTGAAGAAAAAAACAAAGTTACACTGGCGATCAAAACTGAGGGCATGGAGGTTTTTTTTAAGTAAATTTTTGTGTTACATTATATAAAAATATGTTTCATGTTTTAGCCAAAACCATAAAATTAATTCAACTTTCAAACATATACAAACTCTAGAAAAATTCAAAAAATTTTCCAAAAAAATGTTGGGAATTTTTAATCTTAATTCTTGGATATGCAGTTACATGGCTTTGATACTTTTATGCTGATGGTTTTTTTCCATACAAAGATGAATTTGAAACAAATGCGCAACAGAGTTCAAAAAAAATGCAAAAAATCAACGCCAGTTTTTATAAGTTCAAAATTTTGTTTAAGTTCAAAATTTTGATTGAAATTTGTTGCATTTTTCTAAAATTTGTATTAAGTTTGCAAGTTTGATTAATGTATGTATGTGTATGGTTTTGTTTAAAGCATGGAAATTATTTTTATAAAAAATATCAAAACAATTAACTTTAAAAACATTGTAGGTATTTGAAAAAATCACCATTCTCTCAGTTTTGATCGCCAGTGTATGTACATATTTGTTTATTTATTTATTACGGTCGTATGACCTTACAAATAGACACACGTATGACCATATATAACAAATATTACAAAGTCCATATTTATTCATTAAAAGTAGAGATAGCGTAATGTTAAATTTCTTTTACAGTTATTTTAATTTTTCTTTTAATCTGGATGTAATATAGCTTATGCATAAGTATCTAATAAATAGTAAATATCTATATAAATATCTAAGAGTATCACATTTTCGGAGCTGTCGGAATGGACGAGATTCCGAGCAGCGCAGTACCTATACTGGGCGGTGGGAAAGAACTAGTTTCCAAGCCGCCTCTTCTCCATACCACTTTAGGGCAGGCAATCAGAATGGCCGAGATCCAGAGTCGCGCTGCTGGAAAGGAATAGTTTCTATGCCAATCTCTGCTACCTAATAGCCAATATTTTGCAGTAGTTAAATAGCAGCCTCTTGAAAGTGCCAACGTTCTCACACTGTTTTATTTGCGCTGGTAGCTCGTTAAAGCATTTTAACCCTTTATGGAAGAAATTTTTCTTGTCAACTTCTGTTTTATATAGCGGGAGCCTGAAGCTGTTGTTTTCCCTTAGTAAGTATGAATGAGTTTCATTAATATATCGTAAGTTGTCACTCAGATAATCTGGAAGCCTACCCTGTTTTATGTTAAATACGAATTTCATTACGTGATAGAATATTTGCTGTTTAATGCTCAACCAATTTAATTGTATACATATTTAGCCTTAAATATTGCATTCGAATATTTTTAAATAAAAATTATACTTTTCGTTCAACTTTGATTCAACTAAACGTCCGTGAAAGTTAACCAAGACAAACACGCTTTAAGCGAAGAGTGAACGATTTCGGGCAAAAATGGGGGACCTACGCAACTTTCCGTAGCAAGGGGGAGGGGGAGTCAAACTGGGTTATGTCCCACCCGATGAAGTACGTCTGGCAACCCTAGCACCACATAAATCAAAAATTAATATTTAAATTGAAGCTTCAACCATGATACAAAAAATTTGAAGATAAAACCGCTGAGAGGCAGCCTGAACATTTTTGAAGTTAGCTAACATAACAAAAATGTTGTCAAATTTTCAATTTCACAAATACAAATTCACTTTCAGTCTCAAATAAAAGAAAATTGAATATTTTCATCTATTTGTTTTTTGCATGGCGTACTAAACAGGTGAGGTGTAGTAATAAAACAGCCTTCTCTCTTTATTTTCTGACATTCGGCTGCCTTAAGGCCTTTCTGCAGCTCTCAAGAAAAGCAAAAACTCCATATAAAATGACGTACAAGAAATGGCTAAGAAATTTTCTTGAGTAAAATTTCCTTAAGGCAGTACGCAGTTCTTAAGGAATTTGCTACGCTTTCTACCACGGTTTTCTAAAGTTTTTTGTGAAAAAAGGGCACAAGGCAACCCAGGTTTGCAACAGAAATATATGCCCGTTCCATTATTTCTTGAGGAAAGTGTGAAGTATCAAAAATGTCAAAATTTCTTGGACACACAAACGAAATAATAGCAAATTTTTCTTGACCGTTTTCTTGAGAGCTGCATACAGGGCATTATAGTAAAATTTTATAAGGAATTTTTAAAATAAGGCAGTGCCAAAATTATTCTTCTCGCTCTAATTACTTCCCCTGTTATAATTCCACCATGGTTTTTGGTTTTACTTCAAACAAGTAAAGAAGTCAAAGTTCGGGCGGAGCCGAACATTGATACTCGGCGCAAGTATCAAATATATTTTTTTCACCTTTCCGAAAACTACCGCTACATCAAACACCGCTATTTCAAACATCTTCGTTAAACTTATGTAGTTATATGTGGGCGGTATCAGGCCCATTTTCCAAAATTACATACTAATGCTACTTCTTTTCAAGGGATTGTGGTTAGTATCAATTTTGTGTAAATTAGCGTCCTAAAATTTCGAACTATCGAAGTTTCAAGCATTTTTGAAATTGACCGTTATAAAAAAGTGGGCGCCATTTTAGTCCGATTTCAATAATTCTCAGCGTTTTGCTTTTATATCTCAATTTTTAATCGAGTTATCGGACAGACAGTCCCCGCTTAATCGATTTCTTTTCTTCATTCTGATCATTTATGTTCACATTTGCATATATCTATCTCGATTAGTTTTGTCTATTACAAACAACCGTTATGTGAATATGTGAACAAATTTATAACACCCTTGTGCACAAGTTTCGCTCGGGTATAAAAATTAATGATGGCCGACGAAGTGAGCGAGGGGTTTACTTTAAATATTTGTATCATGGCTTCAACTCTCACTTCTCAAAAAGAATATTAAATGTCACATGCATAAAGTCCTTAAAGTGCTTCCCTGAAAGTGTTTTAAAAAAGAAGAACGCCTATCTTTAAATTTTATCAACATGCATACATATGTACATATCGCACACCGTCTTCAATAGAGTTACAACTCAAAATTTGCCATTTTTGAAATTATGCGCTAAAAATGTACACAGAGGTTTTATTTACCTTTCAGCAAAAGCTGGAGCAAAATTTGTGTTATAATTGTTAAAAAAACCTAAGGTAAAGTCGCCTTTGCCCATATGATTAGCATGTGCTACGAAATAGTTTTTCGCATTTTCTGACGAACGTATTATTT